CCTAGGAGCTCCGGTAGCATAGTGCCTAAGGCACTTCTTGACTGCTAACCAGAAGGCTGGCGGTTCAAATCCACCAGCCACTCCTCGGAAGGAAGATGAGGCAATCTACTTCCGTAGTGATACTGCCTCGAAAACCCAAGGAGGGGTCACTATTAGTCGGGTCCAACTCGATGGCACATAACAACAACAACAATAATGGCTAATTGGTCAATGTGATTTATTTCTTCTTCTCTTCTTTGTTTGACATCTGTTTGTCTCAGGTTTTAGAAGGGAATTCAGGAAGTTTACTATTCTTGCAATATAATTTAGCTTTGGAAATGCTGCAAAAGTTATCATTAATCATGATAATTATTGTTAGCACATATCCTCATTTTATAGACAAGAAAATTATGCAACAGGAAAGTAGGGTAAAACATATAATAATTTGAATTAATTTATTATAATAAATTTCAGGAAATAAACGTTAACTTGTACTAAATACCAAACATCTCCCAGGTGCTCTTTTAAGTATGTTAGTACTAACATTTCTAAAGTTGTTTTCTGCCCTATTTCCAGAACAGAAATTACATAAACATTTTTATACAAGTAGTCACCAACTTACAATTGCGTTTCTTTCTGGTAACTCCATCATAAGTCAGTTCTGATATAAGCTTAATACCTCATTCTCTTTCTTTTTTTAAATTTTCATTATTATTGCCTGTTATTACTTTTCTTTAAAAATGTGATCTTTACTTGTTTTGGGAAGTGGGAAGCATTACATATAAATTTATGTGGTACATATTACTAATGATAATATGTACAAAATAAATAGATGCTCATAAATGTGGTTCATCATAACTCGAACATACAGTAAGTCAAGGATAATGGTAAATTATAAAACTAACAATGCTAGCAAGGATGTTATAAAACTGAATATTGTGTCAATAAATGGTCATTGCTTATAAAATTATATGCTTAGGATAGTTTATTATACCCTTTATTTTCAAGTAAATATAGTGTAACACAAATGCAAATGAGTGATTCGTTTGATATTAACAAATAAAATGTACTGTATATAATTCTTTGATTACAACAAATATTAGTTATGTTTGAATATTAGAACTGAAAAATGAAAATCTGTAAAATTGGAATAATATATGGATGGTATCCAAAAGCTAAAACATTTAAGAGAACCCTAAGTTGTAGCAATCTAAAATGTATAAAGGTAAAGATTTCTCAAATAAATCTCAGATTTTTAAGAGAATTTTATCTCAATAAGAATAGGAATGATTTGTATGAGCTGAATTTTTCTCTTTCTCTGCACCAGAACACTAAGGAACCAGCTCTTGCACGCACATAGGGCAAGAGAAGACTGGAACATATCCCAGCAGAAGCCATCCGTGCAATTCTGGGACTGAGAATCACCTCTATTCTAGTACAGAGGACACTAAGAATTTACAGATTATATTTGGCATCAAAACAGAGGTTTTTTTTGGTTTTGTATTTTTATTATTTATTTAAGCAATTTTATCTGGCATATGTTGTCCGAAGATATCTATTTAAAAAAAAAAAAAGAAAAATGTATAGAAATCTTCTAACAGTACATGCCAGATAAAATTGCTTAAATAAATAACAAAAATATAATATTGTATTTATATTCTCCATTGACAATAAGGTGAATAACATAAAAACAGATAGGTTTTAACACTTCTCTACAATTTTGGGGTGTATAGACCATCTTTCCACCACCTGTCTATTTGTCACACTGTGGTTGTTTGTGTGTTGTAATGATGCTGGAAGCTTGGCCACTGGTAATTGAAATACCAGCAGGGTCACCCAGAGCAGACAGCTTTCAGCAGAGCTTCTACCCTTTGAATCTTCCAAAAATTAGCCAATGAAAACCTTATAGATCGCAATAGAATATTTTCTGATTCAGTGCTGTGACCAAACAACATTTCCTTCTTTTATACATAAAGTGACCATAAGTCAAAGCTTACTCAATGGTAACTAAAAACAACAACAAGAAGACCATCTAACATGAAAGTTCATTTTATCATACCTCCCAGCAAGGATCTTGCCTCATAATCAAGAAAGGCTCAACATAATCACTTTTAGATTTGAAAGAACTAAAGAAACTATAAACTTAGAAAACATCAGTTCTAACATGCTTTTTAAAATAGATTAACAGTCAGGCTAACACTGATTTCAAAGAGAAATCTGTTTTCAAAGATAAAAGAATTTTTTTCCTGTCATAATTTCTTTCATCAAATAATTAGGGTGACCATTTTCTATCCAGTTACTAATTAAGTTATACAATTACATTTGAAACTTATTTTGGCAATTTAGTTTTTCCTGTGGTAGTGCATAATTATTAACTGTTTTACTTCAAAATAATATAGTTTGACTTGGTATTCTTTCAAAGGTCTAGGAGTTAGTTCTCACTAAAGTATAATGAAACCCAACTCACTAACTAGTTTAGAATCTGATGTGTTATCTTTGTTAAGAACTATGTCAATTGGCATAACATAGTCCACAAAGGCAGTGTTCTACTTCCTACTTTGGTGACTGGCAACTGGGGTCTAAAAAGTGTATGAGTGCCATCTAAGGTGTGACTATTGATCTCTCCCTGTCCAGAGCAAAGAAGAGTAAAGAAAATCAAAGATGCAAGGAAACAATTCATCCAAAGGCTGAACCCCACCCTTCATGATCCTAAGACCAGAAGAACTAGGTGGTGCCCTGATACCACTACTGACCACACTGAAAGAGATCACAATAGGAGGTACTGGATAGAGTGAGGGGAAATGTGGCTTACTGGTCTGATTAAGACTGGTGGAACTCCCAAGACTATGCCCCTTAGACACCCTTCAAGCTAGGAACTATACTTAATACCTGTGACTTAATTGTCAGCCAAATGATAGGCAGGCCTATAAGGTGAAGTGTAGTATCAGGAAGTATGCACTCCTTAGGAAAGTCAAGCATATGAGATCAAGAGGACTGCATTTTCCCAAGGACAGAACTAGGAAGGCAGGAGGGGATGGGAATGAAGGATGAAGGGAAGGGGTGGGCACAGGGAAGAAGTGGGAAGAATGCTGCTACAGTGTGGGGATTGCAGTAAACTTCACAAAACAGAATGTGTATGCATTATTGAATGGAAAACCAATTTCCTCTGAAACCCAAATCACAATTAAAAACAAAAAAAGGAAAAAAAATATAAAATGAAATAACTAATTCATATGTCATTGTTTTGGAAAATTTATCAGTCTATAAGAATCAGATTTCCATAATGACTAGTCTCTAGAGAGTTCATCTGTATAAGGAAATATTGTGTGCAGCTGAAAAATAAAATTGTTTTTAAAATGAATACAAACATTTCTACATGGCTCTCTCCAATGTAAATCATATTTTTCCTTTAGTCTTTATAAGAATTTTGAATATATACTTCTTTGTAAAGTTTAAGTCTAACCTGTCAGTAGGGGAAGTGCAATAAGCAGACATAAGCTGTTAGAATTTCACATCACTGTGCTGAATATGAACAATTTTTTGTTTCCTATTCTACTATTTCCCATAAATGCCAGGTAACAAAAGAGCACAGACCAATTCCTGGCATTGCTTAGTACAATTCATGTCAGTGCCAGGTAGTGGCATGAGGAAGAAACTCATGAGTATCATCTTTACTACTCGTAAATCATCAATCAAACCAGTTTCTGCTCTTCCACTGATGAATATTTTTATAAGTGAAAATATATACCTCATTAAAAAATCATAATTATTTAATGTTGCATAGCATTCCATTGTGTATATGTAACATTCTCTGTTGTTGGCACTTAGGTGGTTTCTATCTTTTTGCTATTGCAATTAACGTTGTGATGAACATGGGTGTGCATATATCTGTTCGTGGCATAGCGCTTATTTCTCTAGTATCCTGGATCTCTTATCTATTTACCTTGCATCATATGATATTTCTATTTCCAACTTCTTAAGGAAGCTCCATACCTCCAGACCTCTTTCCACAGTTGTCCCACTATCAGTGTATAAATGTTCCAGCTTCTCCACACCACCGCCAACATTTTTTTTTTTTTTTTAATTTTGCTGTTAATGCTGGGCTAAGGTGATATATCATTGTTATTTTTATTTGCAT